TGGTCTTGCGGAGGTAGGGCTCCTGCAATCCAGAGAGAACAGAACCGCAGCAAGCACAGTGAGTTCTCCCACACTTTTCACCGGATTTGGAGCCACTGTGGATTCTGACAGTAGTTTTTTTTTTAGAACCAGAAATATGAAACAAAAGGAAAAGAACAGAAGCAAGGCTAAATGTCACCAGTGTTTGCCAACTTACAGACTCCATGCATTCATTTGTTCTGAAATGATGAGTGGATCATTTGGCAAATACAACAGTATTCACACTACAGTTGTATCATCCTGCAGTGCCAACGGCATCATGTTGGTGACATTCCCACTTAGTCAAAGAAGAGAGAAGGGGAAAAGAGAAGACCGTTGCAAGAGTTTGGGTAATGCTGCCATCCAGTGCACACATCATGGCTCTGGAGGAGGAGAGAGGAGGTACTGCTCAGGGAGCCAATATCTTTCGAAGATCTCAGGGAACAGTATTGCATTGTGTTCCACTAGAGTCAAAGAGGAAAGCTCTGTGTCTACTGGGGACACAGCCAACAGGGAAGAGCCGTCAGAATGGGGCAGAGGATTGCAGAGGCATTGTGACAGCCAAGTGGTCCTCCCACAGAGAGTCTAACTCCAGGCCTGGACACACACTATTACCTTGGAGGAGACTGAACCACATGGTCAAGGACTGATCTGTAGATGACCCAAGGCAGAAAAGCAAAAGAGCAAAGCTGTGCTTCCTCCCAGTCTCTGCAGCCAGTCCCTGTGAGAATCGGCTCAGAAAGAAGGAGAGAAGAAGGAATGAGCGCTCATCTAACTTTCAGCAAAGCAAAGCAGCCTCGGACCAGCCTCAGGCTCCACATGCCCGGTACACTGGGGGTCTGTGCTTCCTTTGCCATTTGCCTCATCCAGCATCCTTTCTTCATCAGTGCCTGCTGACTTCAGCGTTGTACCTAGGAGTCCTCCACAAAGCCAAGCGGGCAACATGTGCCACAGGCTGTGCATCTGCTTATGCTCGGGGTCTGCAGATTCACAGTGGCACTCCGCATCACCAGCTCCTACAGCCCAGCCCCGCTTCCCTTGGACAGCTCCAAGTTAGTCTGCAGTCTCAGGCATCATCTGAGTTAGGGAAGCTGAGTTCCCAATAACCTGAACACAATAAACGGGGGATATTCAGGTGATTCTTGCCCATGACCTTGCTCTCCTGGTAGGCCTTTGCCGATCACTCATTCTGGCACCCACCATACAGAGGGTCTCATGCTCCCGTGACTGACATGCTAATCCATGCTTCTTACATGGCCAGGCTTCCTGGAGCAGTGTTATGCCTGGAACACAGTTTCTAAGCATAAAGTGTGTTCTGTTCTTGCTACCTTTCCCGTGTGCTATCTTTACTTCTTTCCCACCAACACATCACAAAGCAATGCCATAGCCTGATCTTCTGTCCACAAACACTGGGATAAAAGCACAGCTAGCACCATCGATGCTGTGCACACCAGCCTTTGCATTCTGTGTGTGTGCCACCAAGCTTGTGCCTTCCATGCGCTGCTGGGTCTCTATGCCATACACTGACCAACGTTTCTCAGACTGGACAAGGGGCTTGTTCACCTTTCTCCCACAGTGAAGGTGAATGGTACTTGGTCTGCCCTGTTTCCCTCCACTTAAATACTCAAGTAGAGAATGCCCTATTGGAAAACCAAGGTCAAATTCATTCCCAAAAAGCCAAGGGCACATTTAAGTCCCCAGATGGTTCTGGGGCAACCTTGCGCCTTATATATCACATTCTTAAGGGAATAAGGAGATTTGAGCCTCACTGGATATGACCAAGACACTTCCCAAAATTAGAGTTTTGAGTGGGGTGAGAGCTTATATAATGCACCCAGACATATAGAGCTACCTGTCCCATGCAAGAGTGAATGAGGAATGGCTTCCAGCGTATTCTGAGATGCCTCAATGTTTTCCATGAAACCATCGGTGGTTTGTCTCTAGCAGGCTAGCATGCTGTCCTCCATGGAAAGGCCTTCTGAAAGTTCAGACCCAAACTGTCAATCCTGGCACCTGCTACAGGCCCCTTCCTCCCCGGCTGCCTGGGACAACTCTCATCTCTTGCTGGCTTCTTCCTCTGCACCGGCCGTAAAAGAGGTGGCACACATTTGCCAGGGACCCCAAGGCTATGACCATTAGGAATGGTAGGCAGAAGTCTCTGGGCACAGAGTCCACACCGTCACATTGCCCATGGCACTGGGAGAGGCAGCTGTCTTCTATTTTAACTCAGAAGCGAGTGGCAGAGGAAATGCTGAGACATCCAACTACTTGATTACTCCACAGGGTCAGAGCTCTTAGAAATGGAGCATCTCTTCCCACAAACTGCTTTTAGGGGTAGCTAGCTGGAGATTTGGGTTCACTAACTAACTAAAACCAGATCCCTATATTTCTATCTGAACATACATTATAAGTCTTCCCTAGGGCAAATCCAGGCTTCTTGAAGCAATGCAGCTACCAAACCGAGGGGCCAGTCTGGGCACCCACATCTGTTTGGTAAGAGAAGACAGAATGAGCATCAGGAACACTTTATGCTTCATGCCAATCCCCTTTCCACCCTTGCAAAGTGAAGCCAGTTGGGGTTGGATGTTCACAGCTGTCACTCACGCTTTTCGCATTGCTAGAAGAGTGAAGCAGGCTGAGGATAAGCCAAGAATGACACCCCATGGATTTCAATGTGGTCCTCACATAGGAATTCAGAATGGATGACTACGACTGGCCCCTCTGGGTACTAAGGGCATGCTAGGAATGAGTAAGGCACTAAGAGGAGCATGAAGGACTAGAACCTGGCGTAGGAGAGTAAGGTCTGGACAGGACCAGGCCCAGCCTGGAGCCAAGAGAGCAGTGTCCCTCAGCTAAAGACCAGAGGAGTTTACTCCTCACATTCCCAAGCCACAGCACAAGGTTGCAGAAGAAACGAGGTCAATCAGAACGCAGAACCCACGCTCTCTGACATGATGCAGCTTATAGCCAGAGCTGGTCTCTCCAGCAGAAGACAGAACAGAGACCTAGACTCTGTGCCAGGGAAGCCGCAAGCAAGTTTCTAGCCTGGCTGGACCAAGATGCCTCCTCCACTCCAAAGCAGAAGAGTCACGGTATATGTGCCTGGTTCTGCTTTCCAATGACTAAGAGGTTGACCAAGCCAAGGTTCTTGGCCATACCATGGTAATGCCATGGATATATTAAGCTACTGCCTTAGGGAGAAGGGAGAGAAGTGCCCACGAAGGCATGGCTCAAGGGGGGAAGGGGCTGAGAGGAACACCTGCCCCAAGTTGCAAAAGGGATACTTTCAGACAAGCTTGCTCAAGGCCAGGAGGCTTCCTTCAGCAGTGATAGGGAGATGGGAAAATTAATAGGGGTAATATGAGCTCATTTCAACCCTAATGAGCTTATGAGCATGCCAGGTTTTGATCTCTTCTGATGCAAGGATTCCTGGCAGAGACTGTGGTCCTAAGGAGGTAGTTGAAAGGACTGAAAATAGATTTTTTTAAATCCCCCCAAACAACAATAAAAAGGAACCACCCCGATCACAAACTTAAAACGACATCGAAAGAAGAAAGACTTAAATGTTGCTACCCAGAAGAAAGGGGAGGGAGAAAAAAGTTGGAATGACATAAAACCCTTTTTTCTTTTAAATATTGTTTTTAACAGCTTCAAAAGTAATGAATTGTCTGCAGCTAAAAATAGATCTGGGGTCCTGGTTAATGGGGCCCTGTGAATCATTCCACCCAAGGAACTGTCAATATTTTTTTTTGAGCTGTCAGAAATCCATTTAGTGATTTTTGACAATTCAAAAAATATTTCCGACTGCTTGATCCAGTTCTTAGTGAATTAGGGAAAGAGCAGGGAAAAGAAATAGATCAGTTTAAATTATGAACCCAGCTTTCTAAATCCTCTCTGAACTGGAAAGAACATGAGAATATGCTGAGGTTCGGAAATCTCCCCTTCCATTTTCTGACTTCCTTCCTGCCTCCCTCCCTTTTTCTTTTCCTTCCATACACGGCAATCCATTCCCGGAAAGGTGCCTTGGTTAGTTGTCTCCGATAGGGAGAGGAAAACACGCACCGAGTTTCTTTTAGGGAAAAGGCTTTCACATACGAGAACAGGGATGCCAAGACAACGGCCTCGCTTCTCCCTGCCCATCCCGACATCTAGGGGACCCAAATTTATGATTCTAAGGTCTGGAGTTACGCTGGGATAACCATCCTCTCCCAGTTTGCTACAAGAGCAGGCAGGCACAAATCTGGGACACACAGGGTTACAACACGATTCATCTGAGACTTTACAACGCACACTTTTTGTTGCAGCAACAGACAGGTGGACAGACACAGGTCACAGCCAAGGGCCAGACTCACAGAAACTGCTGTATGGTTTGTTAAAGATGAGCTACATACACCCCAGAACCATCTTCCTATTTGGTGAGAATCACATTTTTCCCCCCTCTGTACTAACCCTCTGTGGTTAGTGTGATATGACTTTAGTATCCTCTAGGTCAAAAACAGCAACAACAAAAAAGCTAAAGGAGACAGATCTGGCTTGGCCAAGCTGGCGGGAATGGTCTAGGCATCTCTCAGTAAGTTTCCACTACTGAGAAGTTTGCAAGTTACCATGTCTCTTTTTACTCTTGTTTTCTAAATTGTCCCCAACCCCTTTCCCCACCACCTTAATTTTTGGGTAACAAACCAGGAGCAGTTCGTACTGTGAGATGACACCCAGTTTCCCATGCTTTCTGATCAGGTGGCTGAAAATGTTACACAGGAACGTGGAACAGGAGTTCTAAGCCTTCTAAACAAAATCGACTTTTCTGATTGTCTACATTGCTTGGTACATCAGGGTACTTGTGGGTTTTTTTTTTTTTTTTTCGTTTTACAATGTTTCGTTCAAAATCTGCTCACAGGATAAGATGACCCCTTTTTGTTTAAAAAATGCACAATTCACCCGTGGTCTTGGGCAATGAACTAAAGGAAGAGGATTCTAAAACTTACCACACAAGTCTGGCCTCTTGATACATCCAGAATTGGCTGTGCTACTTGCAAGTCCGTTAAAGGCTGCTAAGCCATCGGAGCCGTAGGCCCTGAGCACCGACAGCATGTTCACGGGTTTCTCCAGGCCCGGGGGGCCCCGCTCCGGCTTGGGCAGGCCCGCCGAGGGCTCTTGGGCAGCAAGACGGCCAGGGCTGTGCCACTGCTTCTCCGCCGCTTGGCCTAAAGGTGAGCCTAGGCCCTGCACGGGCTGGGGGGCGCCGGTGGGCAGCAGGCTGTCCCCACCGTCGCTGCTGCCCCCGTCCTTGCCGAGCGCGGACAGTGGCTTGCTCATCATCTCGGGTTCCGTTTCGATATCTTCTTCCTCGTTGTTCTCTCCCCTGGAGGAGTCCATATCCTCGGAGGAGGCGATATCAGAGAGGTCTTCGGCAGTGTTCTTACCGCCGGTGGTCTCCGGGATCAGGATGGGGGCATCCTCTTCGGAGGGGCCCTTCCCCTCCAGCTCCTTGTTGGGGCAGGAACTAGAGGCCCCCGAGCCTGCCATGCCTGGGTAAACACCAAACTGTTTGTAGAAGTCGGCCGGGAAGTTACAAAACGCAGGGTCCACGTGACCGGGCCATGCACCGCCCTTCTGGTCCCCCAGAGTCTCTTTGGCCTGTCCCGGGGCCATCTTCTCAGAAGTGGAGTCCAGAGCGCCCATCACTCCGGGCAGGCCCCCATCCTTGCTCGATTGTACCGAAGACAGCAGGGCCGCCTTGCTCGCCTCGCGCACTTGGTCCTTGCAGTGCGCCGTCAGCCCCACCGCGGCGTCCTTGCGCTTGGCTTTGCCCAGGTGGTTGGCCTGCAGGTGCAGAGCCATGAGCTCCATGGAGGACGTTGTAAATGCACAGAACAGACAGCCGTGCCACGCGATGCTGTCTTGCACTGTCACCGACGAGCCAGGCAGGGAGGCAGCGTCTGGCCGCACAGACAAGTCCAGAGGCTCGTATTGTGACTTCTCGGATTTCCTCTGAGAGGACTTGCCACCTCCAACAGCCTTGTCCTCACCGCCACCATCAGCTCCATGGACTTTCATGGGCGGGGCGTCACACAGACCTTTGTCTTTCTTCTTCCAGGAACTAAGGACAAAGCTGTCCATGAATGCTTGCAAGGACCCCTGGAAGTTCACACCGTTGCTCACGATGCTTTGGTAAGCCCTCCCGATCTCGGAGAAGTGGGTGCTCTTGGGCGGGATGTCGGCGCCCTTCAGGGAGTCGGACACAGCCTCGGAAGGCAGGCCCGGGACCTGTCCTGCGTGCTCCCCGGACGGGAGCATCCCCGAGGTCCACTGCTGAGAGGCAGGGCCACCTCTGAAGTCGATGCCTGGGAGCCCCTTAAAAGCGCCCCTCAGGATGTCCGGCCTGATGAACAAAGGCGCCTTGCTGGCCGTCTCGTCCTTGTGGTCTTGGCTGGGGGGCTGGCCGGACAGCGGCCCCGCTCCGTTCTGTCGCTCCCGATGGTGTCTCTCCAGGTGGTACTTTAGGGACGCGGACTGCGTGCCGGCATAGTCACAGTGGGGGCACTTGTAGGGTTTCTCACCTGCGAGGTTTTGGTACAAGAAAAACAGACACACACAGAAAAAAACAAAAAGTGTTTATCTCGTTGTGGTGTGCCCGACAAGGCTAGAAGGATCAACGTTTTTCTTTGAAACAAAGCAACCCCAACTAATAATTAGTTAGAGAACAACTGTTTTTTAATAGGAGAGTAATTCGTACTCTTAAGCTTTTTTAATGATTTTGTACCATTTGGGACTATTCAGGAATGACATACTATCTACACACAATTAGCTATCTTTTTCTTTATCTAACATGTGAAAATGGCTGTAGATTTAAAAGCTATGATTATGAAAATTAAGCATAATAATTTCAGCCACAGTGATCATTAAAAGTAGAAGTTTAAAAAGACAAAGTATGTAACAAATGGGTGGTTGCAATATTTTGTGTATACAATAGCTCTAAAATTTGTTTAAATTATACACATGGAAACCATTTTTAAACCTAAAAATTTTATGGCACTGTTACGCAAGACTGAAATGAATGATTTAAGTCTTGCTCTGCAGTAAATCATGGATATAATTAGCAAATGGCATACTGCACAAGTAATTTATCATTATTTGGAGGGCACCATTCCAGACGGGCTCAGATATCTGCAGAAGCACTGCATTGTTCCTAAATAAAGAACTATAAATACCGATTCTATAAAATATTAATACCATTACAGTGCATTCTGATTGCAGCATGTAAAGGCATATAGTTAAGAGAAAAGGCAGTCAATAAAACTTAAAAGAAAATGAGTAATAAAAAGACACAAAATATGTTTAGTTTCGGTATTTGAAATTAACATTATCTACCCGCCTTAAATTTGTACTAACGGCAAACCTAATGCTCTGGTAGTAAAATGTGTAATTTACCTACGATAAGCACTTTCTAGAGAATAAAAATAGCGTTAAAGGGTATTTTAAAACATATAAGATAATTTTCAGGAATTAAATATTTAAATTCTATACCAACTTCTATTGTTCTCTCCCCAAAGGAGCCGATACCATGTAACAGACAACTTAACATCCATTGTAGGCACGGGGAGATTAGAGCAGGAGGAGAAAGTAAACAAGTGTGGATTTAAAGATATTCCAAGAATTTGCTAGCGATCCTGGGTCTTTTCTGGACTTTGCCATCAAAGGGCATGCTGGAAACAAGCAGGACTGTCCCTGTTAGCATGTTCACAATAGGACCCTGTCAATATCCTCACTTCTTTCTCCCAGGAAGCTCAACCATTCCTCCCTCCCGCCTCGCTCCTTGTCACTGCGCCCCCTTCTCCCTCCTCTGTCTGCTCTATTGTAAAACAGACTGAGCTAAAAGCACCAGGAAAGAGTGCCTTCTGAAGACATTCCTCCACGTGTCATTGCATCTGATGCCCAGACTGCTGGTTCTCTGGACATGGGGCGTTTCGGGGGTCTGAGCTCTGTATTCAAGAGGACTGCCAGCTGCAGGGCATCTCGGGAGCATGAGCCAGAAACATGCAGATACAACATGGGCATCCCTAGGTTGTGACAGGAGGCCATGAGCTCCCCTTCCGCTCAGCATCAAGCAGCTGAGATCTCCCCCCGGGGAACCTCCTTCAGAGATGACCTTTGGGTCTAGAAAGGTGGTCCAGCTAGCAATCTTCTTTAGATGGAAAGCTTACTGCCGCCTCTGGTTAGCTCAGTCAGGTGGGTCTGGGAGGAGGACTTCCTGCCCTTGGGGGTAAAGATACAGAGAACTTCAGGCACCATCTCCTCCCACCTTGGAGAGTCTCACTTCAGTCACTGCAACCAGGGTGCTGTGGCTGGCATGGACAGTCAACGGCCCAGCTCACCTAGGTCCTTGGGAAGCCCCATGACTGGCACAGCAGAGCTCACGCCCTGACACTTAGGAGGTGGACAAAGTTTGTAAGCCAAGAGTCTGCCTAAAAACTCAGCACCCTGGCCCACACTTATGGCAGACCCTGGCAAGGGCAGGGCTGGGTGGGCTGCGGAAAGCACAGCAAGTGAGAGTCAGCAGAGGTGAGGCCACAGGTTCTGGGGAGGTTCAGGTTACATTGCAAAAATGGACCTGGCGATGATTAAATGCATCTGGCAAAGCAACTATACAGAAGCAAGGGGCCGTGCTGGCAGCAGGCAACTTGAGGGGAGAATATGGACTTTGACTTGCAATCTGGGGGTGGAGGGTGTAAGCTGCCTTCTTGGTGGGCTGCATGGGACATGACTGTGTGTATCCCCAAGGACCATCACACATGAGGACCACCAGCTCTGCGCCCTCAATGCAGAGTGGCCCTGGGTTTGGTGGTAGGCATTGGTATCTTGTTCCTTCTGAAGCAGACAGTAGAAAGGCTGCACTTTGCATGAACAATGTGGAATTGCCTTGGGAGTTTTCAAAAGCATTGTGACAGCTCTGCTTCCCTGTTTGTGAATGAAGGGGCCCTAGGTGCATAGTGAAAGTGGGGATCTTTCAGAAACACCTGGGGGACCCTTTGTGGAGCCTATGTGGAGGCCTCTGTCTGGAGCCTCTTTGGAAAGAACTGGGGTATCAGGGCGTAATGGGGAAGATAATGTTAAACTCAAGAGGCATTTGGAGCCCCTGGATCAAGGGGCGGGGGAACACTCCATATCACTTTGAGGTCTGTTGCACACACAGGCTCCTGGTCTCAGGATTTGTCTCCTCCACCTACAATGTGAGATACTGAGCAGGCTCATCCAATGACTGAGCAACACCTCCTGGAGGAGTCTAGAGATGTGTGTGTACATTCATGCCCACGTAGATTCACTTATATGTAGTTTTTCTTGGCATAAACCAATGGACAAACAAGCACCTGCTACCCACCTCCCAAGCAGGGATTGAATAGAAAAATAAACAGACGGAGCCCTGCTCTGGGGCACTGCAGATGAGAGGGTCGCTAGTATACATACACACACACACACACACACACACACACACACACACAGGACAGCATCTCTATTCTCAGCACTCCACTGCTGTAAAACACACATGGGCTTTGGCCTCAATCGCCGCCCATAAAGAAAGATCCCAAGTCTGGAGTGCCTAGGCATGGTGGGTGTTGACTGAGCGGTCATGGTTGTTTCAGTTCCTGGCCAGTGTGGGGCATGAGCCATGCTTGGAGAGTAAAGGGCAATGTGGTGTCGGGCATGAGCTGGCCTTCCTGAGACTCCTGAGCTGGTCCTGGGCCATCTCTTCCATCTGAAGCATCCCAGCTGCTTCCCAACCACTCTTTCCCCAGGGACACATTTCAGAGCGTTCAGCAGGCAAATTTCTCACAAAAATGGTGGTAATCTCTTAGAGGAAGGTCCCATCAGCAGATGGGACAGGCACCCAGGGCCCACCCAGTGTGCCCTTGCACTTGCCCAGTGCACGCAAATGCCAAGTTCACCCGCCCTGCAGGAGCTGCCAGTCGAAGCTGCCCAGGTATAGCTTCAACCTAAGTACTCTGGGTTACCAGCAAACCTCAGCCTCAGGACATGAGCAGGCTCTACCACAGAGCCAGACAATCAGCTGGCCAGCCTAGCCCCCGCCCATGCAGCTCTGTGACATAGGCATCTCCAGAACCTTCCAGCAGCTCTAGCTAGCTGAGAGATTGCCCACTTAGATCACAAATAAGTCCCCATCTAGCACGGGAAATCCCTCAGACCTGCCCAAGGTTTCAAGGGTGCAATGGGTCCTTGGGGTGCATCCATTTGCTCCGGATACATTGACGTCCAGTGTGCCTGTTGAGGGGCCACACACTGCCATGACTTCAAAGCCAAGCATATCATGAGAATGCAAAAGAGCAGGGGGTTATGGGAAAATGCCTTTTGTGGAGGATGGCTGCCACCCAGCTCTAGCCAACCAGGACCAATAAGAACTCCAACTCTCTAAGAAAAAGTCTCTTATCCAAATTCCCACACTTGAATATGGCTGCCTATTTTAAAACTATTTGAAACACCAAGAGGGTCCCGTATCTTGTGTTGCACACTGGGTTAAAATGCATGTCTGGGACAAGGATGTGCAGTACTGGGCCACATACTCACTATATGAAGCAGGTCAATGAAACACACTTGTGCCCATGGGTGGCAAATCATCTCACAGCATCTTTAAGAACAAAGACACGGGCCCAAATAATCCATTTTGACGAGCAAGAGTTTTGCTGGAAAAGCCAACCTCATCAGAAACATCACCGGCTCATCACTTCAAACATTAGTGAAATTATTGGAACTGTCTTGCATTAACCCAGCTTTCCACTGACATATGGCATAAGATAGATACCCAGGTCTGGTACATCATTGATGATTTCTCCCAAGTCACTGTCTCATGAATTTCTAAAAATATATGACCAGGTGGTTTAATGAGTTCCCTGCACCTATGTTTACACATTGGGTCTTTCCCTGTTCTAGCCTTTGCTGTTCCCTCGATGGCTTCCATCCCAGAGAAGTTATTCTGGAGCTATTCAGAGTAAGTTCCCAGCAGCCACCCTCCAAGAATAACAGGTGGATCCTTACTACCCCTTTTGGAAATCCTTTTACCAAGCTTTTTATGAAGTGATTCAAGCTCCTGGTGCTTTCAAGAATCTTTTTTTCTTCTTTTTCTGTTTTGGTTGCAAAATCTCTAAAATATCTTCGCTTTTCAGTCAAAAGACTCTCTTCCCAAGTTTGCGTTCTCTAGTCGATATTTATTTAGTCTTCCTCCATGTCTTTACTTAGTTAATACCAGGAGAGATAAATATGGTGGTGCCTTCACAGCGAAGCTTCAGTACATTAATATAAATTGTACACTAATTCCCCCAAAGCATATATATGTTGTAAACCTGAAGACTTTTCACACAGCTGCTTATTGCTAAACAGTGCCTTGTCCAGAAGGGGACAATCTGTGTCTCTAATTGCTGTCACTGAAGCCGAGATTCATTATGTGACTTTCCCATTAAAATGTGAGCATTAATTTGTATAATGAAATATCACCCACTGCAGTGTTCATTAGCCATGCCCTACTGTATAGAGCACATTGTTAGCTACC